TGCTGGTTGGGTAGAAAGTCGCCATATAAGTACAGTCCATTTACCATTCAGTGTCTTCCCTGAGGACAGGAGACATATGGTGGTGCCAAAATCTGAAACATTAAACTTACAATTAGTGAGCAACCAAATTAAGTAACTAGGCTGGGATTATGATAAAGTTGCTCTTTTTTCAGTGGATACAAACAGAGTCAAAATACTGATTTGTGTAACGTGGTTATCTGTTTTGTTTAATTGTCATAGTTATGAATTAGCTGAGGGGTCAAGGAGGTTAATGTTTTGAAGGAGCCATAGCCTTGCAGCAGATTAAACTTAATTGATGTGTTTAAAACCACATTAGCCTTCATCCTGCTAAAACTGAGGATTACTGTAACACCCTGAGGCTAAAGCACTAACTCCAAGATTGTTGTTGGTGCAGAAATGCTCTAATCGTGGTCTGCACAAATCCTGCGCAGCTAGGCTTAGTAGCAGCAAACTCATTATCTTGAAGATTGCACACAGTGGGGCAGGCACTTTGTGCCGGTGCTCAGACTCAGGGGTCAGCTCTGGAGGCGAAAGGTTACCATCTTGGGTCACAGAAGGGGGGTGGTGGGCATGCAAGATGAAGAGGGGAGTCTATACAAGGTGTCTGGCATGATAAACGTGGACAAGGAAAAACAATTGATGACCAGGCCAATGACCTCTCTGTGATCGTCATCTATAGTTCAGTGTGAGATGTAAATGTGGGGCAGCCAGTCACACTTGTTACTGTTTTATAATGAGGATTAATAGCAGAAACACAAAAGCAGTCATCCTGGACATTAGGGGTTGGGATTGCTGAGACCACCATCACACTGTCACCAACTGTGAGAGGTTGAAGGCAAGTTAGAGTTTTGTATTCCTGAAGTACACATAAACATAAATCTGCCGTAGAACACCAACATATCATCAAAAGCAATAATAATAAACTAAATCTGCCATAATGCATTCTAACTCACTAGAAATTCATCAGTGAGTAAAACTTTATTAGTTTTATTTGTAATAATATTTCTGTTGTTATTTCAGATTTAGTCAGTCATACACTTAGTTATTATCAGTGTTTAAAGAGGACATGTTAAAACACTGTTGAGTCACAGTTAAACATGAAACATCAAAGTTGATTACAACTGGCCCTTTGAGGGCCACCATAAAGCTCATGTGGCCCTCGGTGAAAATGAGTTTGACACCCCTGTTGTATG